TTAACCTTTGCTCTGCTGTTTGTCTTCTCCTCCTGTCTATATGTGAATGTGCAGAGCCTTGGCCAGGGTCTCATCCTCCAGTGCTGACTTCAAAGAAGTGTTCGTGTTTATTGGTGCCCATATCATGCACACTTGAAGTTCTGTAGTGTCCTGGAGGCCTGCTGGGCTTCTGGGGTCCACTTCCTAAGTTGACATTGAGGCTGCAGCCCTGTAACCCGAGAAGGTCATTTCCCCTTCCAGCTTGCCTCAGTTCCCTGATATGCAAAGTGAGAGGAATATCTTTCCTCTCATCAGGCTGTGGTAAAAATCACTTATATGATGCTTAGCACGTGGACAACAAATGCCATGAAGATCAGCATTGCTATGTTAAGAATATATCTTCCAAAATAGAGGTCAGGTTGTTGTGCTTAAAGAAGACGTTGGTTCTGCGGCTCTGATGGAGCGTCTGGGTGGTAGGGGTGACGGTCCAGGTTTCATAATCCCTGACATGCGCTTGCAGCAATGCCACGATGAATAAACATCTGTGAAAAATCTGTGTACTTGCCAAACGTATGCAGCTTCAAGAGAAGTCCTCTCTCTCTCCCTCCTTCAATCAGAGTGCCATCCAGAGCCTCTCTTCTGAAAATCTGCCATTCCTACAGTTTCTGCCCACGCTGACGCTGCAAATCCGCCACAACCCTTTGCCCTGTGACAGCGTGGTGCTCTCGTGTTCTGTAACCCCTGACTCTAAGTCCTCCCTATCCCTAAATAAGATTTATAGAGTGTGACTTTGAGCAATACAGCAAAGTCTGTTTTATCTGAAGGGAAATACATATTTTTACTACCATTTTAAAATCTTTTGCTCAGTGCCTCAAGATGATTTAGAAGCTAATCAATGATAAAATTCCAAATCCATCTAAGGACACAGAACTGAAAAGGGAAGTGGAACCACTTCAATCAGGAAAGTGGCTGCTGTGACCCCCCAACCCCTGGAGAATATCGATGCCCCATCTCAAAGATGCTGTGGTGTGGTCATCTGTCTTTTGCAGCCAGACCATACTCAATCGCTTTTGCTTTTCACAAATTAATTCATTGAGACCTGCACATTTGTCAGGCATTCCGGGAACCTTCTGCCAACATTTTGTTGATTAAAGGATTTATATTTTAAAAGTGGGTGGAGAGGAAGGAATTTATAATTCTCAAAACCAAAGAATGATTTACAATGCTGACTGCTACCTAAATCAGTCAGCGCGTCATAGATAAATGAAATACGAAAGATTATACAGAGTCCCCACACAGGCTGTTAAAATCTGTGGATTGACTGGTTCTATACATTCAGCAGGATTTCTTTAATTTACAAACAATAATATGACCAGAAAAAAAAAACACCTTTTATTGTTTACTTTTTCCTAAGGGCTTTTCTCCACTCATGTGGTACCCCCACTCCTATTTGTAAAGTACAGGTCTCTTTTCCAGGTATGCAAGTTCACTGATTTCATTCCAACTCTCCTAGGTTTTGGACTGATTTTTCCCCCAAAGATATTTGGGGGCCATTGGACAGCACATTCATTGTTTCATGGAATTACTAGGTGGAGCTCCAGTATGGGAAGATCCCTGGGGTAAACAGAGAATTTGGTAAACACAGACTGATGGTCCTATAGCTGGTGGCTTATTATTTGATGGTCAAGGGCTCCCTCTGAACTGGTGCATCTGAACCGTGGTACATAAAGCTGGAGACATTTCTTCCAGCTCCCTAGTGGCTTTAAAGACTGTGCAGTGGGAAAAAGGGCTTTAAACAAAGTCTCATTTTAAAAGAAGCTGGAGCACAGAATGGAATTCAAAGAATTCAGAGAGAGGGGAGGTGAAAGTGGTAGCAAACAGCTTTAGAGAGGCCTTGAGAATTTTAGGAGAATGAAACATAGGAGAGGTAAAGGAAAAATCTCTCCTGCAACTTTTGAGACAGAGAGACCAGGGAGACCGGGAAGCCCCTTGAGCAACTATATACTGAGCACCTACTGTGTGCAGCCCTTGTAAAAGCATTAAAGCTGCAGTGTTGAGGGTGTCCAAGGAGAGAAACAGAGTACTTTAGGTCAGGAAGTGAGTCATACTGTTTCCTGCCAGGAAAGAAACTTGAGCTTTATGTAGATATTAAATTCCAAAAAAGGCACTGAATATCTGCCATTTAATTCACATATTGGCAAAAGAAAATGTTCTCTGTGTAATTCATTTTAAAATTCTACATTAAAACATGTTGATACTACATTAAGTAATATTAAAGAAATGATTGAGAAAGTTGTTTATTTCAAAAGTGGGAGTTGTAGGCTCTGGAATTTGCTCCTCTCCTATCTGTTCTCCCATTTCCCCATTCCTTAATTCTTGGTCAGTTTGTGCATCCATTTGGTAGTTCAGTGTTATTTTCTCCCACCTCCGATTCTTTCACTGACTCAAAGGCTCAGACAGAGAAGCAGGAGGGAAAGGAGACCAGAGGGGGAGCTTGCAGCCCTGTCCCTGAGACATGCTGCCGACGCTGACCTGGGGAGCAAGGGGAATTCAGAGGCAAGGGTGATTCCAGAGCTGGCAGGGATGGTGCTGGCCGACTCTCCGGAGAGTTAGGATTAGGGAGCATAGGAAGCCAACCCTGAGGTTTTGAGCATGGAGGCTACAAGAATGACAGGGTCCTGAAAGCCATAGGATTATTGGGAAGTGGGAGTGGTATGGGGAATGGAGAGATAAGAGAAAGGATGTAATGAGTTGTGCTTTGATGTACTGAATCTGAGAAGCAGCCTTTTACACTAGGTGGTAATATGGACTGGTGCTAATCTGAAATCCTGAGGGTGTAAAATAAATGAGAACAGCATAAAATGACACCAAGTTCCTGCTGAAACTTGGTTTCCTCTCTGTACAGGCTAAGTGCTGTGTTTCGTTTTCATGTCCATGATACAGCACCAATTTTTATTAAGTACCTACTGTATATCGGGAAAGAGGCTAGGAGCTATTCATATAATGGGTGATACATTCCCTGCCTCAGGGAACATGGAGATTAATGCTAGAGATAGCATTAAATAAGCAAGCCATAAACACATTAGCTAAAGACCAGGTGTGCTGAAAATGATGGAGGGAAATAACAGTGCTGCAGGGTGGCGCTTGATTTGAAATCAGAAGGATGGGTAGAGCCAACCACGTAGGTTTGTGCTGAGAGTGGTAAAGGTAAGGTTGGTAGTGCAACGGAGTCTGATACTAGGGGTAAAGAATCACACACGATTTTCAGGACTTGCTGCTAGTTCTGGGGATCTCAGTTCAGTGGAAGTCCCTAGAGGTTGTGGTGTAAGAACTGCAGCTCTCTGTCATCAAGGCTGCGATCACTTTCTTTCTGGGATGCTTCTGCATTTCCCTGGACCCAGCAGAACTATCAGTTTGGGCTGCAGCACCCATTCTTAAAAGGACAAGTTTGCACTATTTACATTTTGATTTTTCTTTTAGGTTTTTATTTTAGAATGAGACTATAGAGGCACAAAGATGCTTCTTTCTTTGTTTTCTGCTGTCAAGTGATTCCTTAGCTTTGTTTCACGGCAAAAAAGATTGTGTAGTTTGACCTCATCTGAACAAACGCTTTCTTGCTATTGTTCCCAAAACTTGCTGTTTGATAATTACACACCTTCCAACCCTGATAAAACAGCTAATGAGTCTTCAGGTTAGAACACAGCCAAGAGTCTCCCTACAGGAATCTGGATGAATATGTTCTTTGTGTCTTTGGATAACATTCCAGATTGCAGTTGACAAGCAGAATTGTGATAGGGAGTAATATATTTGCAACATATAGAAACCACAAATGTGAGCAATTTTTGTTATTCTTGCTAGTATTTATTGTGGACTTACAAATTCCTGAAAACTGTCTTTGCATTGATCAATGAGTTTTTTTTTTTTTTTTTTTAAACGACTCTATGCTCTAGGAAAGTACTGTTGTTATCCTCTTCATATTAATGAGAGAGCTATTTCAGAGAGGTTAAGGCTCCCTCTACGGATCACATAGCCAATGAAAGACATAGACAGGACGCAACTCATAGAGTAACTTGAGAACTTTTCAGGCTTTGCTTGTATTTAAAAAAGTAGGAAATGTAATGAATAAATATATTTATTAATTCTACAGGTAAAATTATGAACTATACATTTTATCACTTTCAATTGGCCATGACATGATGTGGCTTATTACAACAGTGCTTCTCTGGTGGTGCAGAGACTATCATCACCACCAGTGGGCATTTTGCAATGTGTACAGATGTTTTGTTCATCACACCTGGAGGCCATGTGCCACTAGAATCTGGTGGGTAAAGGCCAAGTGTGCTGCTAACTATGGTATCGTGAACAAAATCATTCTGCCCAGAAAGTCTGTGGTGCTTAGGTTGAGACTCTGGATCAGAGTAATTCCAAGTGTGTCTCGAAAGTAAGGAGAGAATGGTGACTCCCTTTACAAACAAGGGACAGTGAGCATTTTGAGAATGGGGGAAAGAGCAGCAATGGATTTGTTCATTCAATCACTTATTTGTTCATAGATTCAGTCTCTACAGAAGAATTTCTACACATCAGGAATTTGCTGGCCAGTCATGATGAAAAAACAATAGGGGAGAATTTCTCTGGAGAGAAGGAGGGCATGAAGGAGTACAAGCAAAGCAAAGATGCTAGACAAGGAGAGAGAAGCATGGGGCAGAACCTTGGTGACGAGAGGGAATCATTTTATTTATAAAAGAGGTAGATAGCACACTACTTGACAGGCCTAAGGAGACTTGGTGTGGTCAGGGACAAATTCAAAAGCCTTATGGCTGCCATCTTCTAATCCCGTTTATGGGTGACATGCCGATCCAAACACAGGGCTCATGGGCAGCACACAGTGGGGCTGTAAAAATGCATGTGCATGTATGGGGTGGAGAGGATGAGAAACTTGCACTGCTTCCAAGTTGTGCCGCTGGGCTGTGAACAGGGATGCTGGCTCTTGTTTTTCCAGTAACAGCTCTTTCTATTTGCAGCAGTCCTATGCACCAGCTCCCCACCCCATGGCTCCTCCCAGCCCCAGCACAAACAGTAGCAGCAACAACAGCAGCAACACCAGCAGCGGGGAACAGTTGAGTAAAACCAACCTGTACATTCGAGGCCTTCCACCAGGCACCACTGACCAGGACCTGATCAAGCTGTGCCAACCGTAAGTGTGCTTCTGTTCTCTGAGCGATTTCTCACCCCCCTACTGCTCTGCAGGCATGATTTGGTATTGCACCCAGGGTACCCCGTCTATGGTGTTTTAGTGAGGAAAATCTTCAGCATAAATAGGACTTAAATTTGAGATTGCATTTCAGCCTATTTCAGGGAGTGGAGTTTGTGTAAGATTTGATTGGAGCTGGAGGTTCAAGTTCTTGACAGATGTACAAGGAACTGTTGGCTGATTCACATTTATTGACCTGAAAGATGGGGAGTTATGCTCTCAGACAATGGGACTGACGGAGTCAGGCATGAGTCTCATGGAAGAAGCTGACAAGTGTTACTGATGGGAATCTCAACACCACAAAGAGATAGACTTCAAGATGTTTATGTTTGTGTCCTAAAGCTAAGGTCATTGCTTAACAAACACAGGTACAGCCAGGACAAAGTGATTATAGAATAATATGGTTAATCTAGTCTCCTTGAAACATCTGCCAAGCACAGGGAAGCTATCCTCAAAGACCAGGAACTTTTATATTTGCTAGGAAGAGTAGAAATCAAAAATCTCCTTCCAAATATTTTTTATTACTCTATTGCCTACCAACACTTAGGCTATTAGCCCTTTTATTTATGTGCAAATATATCAAATGTATTTGAGTGTGTCCTCCAAATAAAATTAATACAGAATAATGAATTAAGGAACATGGACCTGAATTTTCAGATTGCTCTCTAATTATTTATAAAGTAATATTAGTACAGATATTTGTCTTTTGATTGTGTCTTACTTCAGTATTTTTTAATTTGGAGAAACTATTACTCAGTTGTTCTTTTTCTCTTTTGCAATGCTTTTGCAAGAAGGTTGAGAGGATATTTATTTTGTAAATTTTCCAACCTCTAAGATATTAGAAAAGGAAATCAAAGCAGACAATATTTATTTGCCTTTGTTCTGGATTTTTAGATTGGGTGTACATATCAAAATAATAGAAAGTGGCAGATAAAGCAAAATACAAATACATAACTATGTAACCAATTGACAGTAAGTGGATTAAGGTGGGGGCACCCTGTTGTTATTGTATGCCATGATTTTTGTAAAAGGAAAGACAGAACCTTGGAGGTAAATATTTATTTAAAAGAGGTTGTTTGGGGATGGGCATTTCTCCTACTGGGTAGGACATAAGCATACCATATTTGAGTACCTGGGTTTAATTCCTGGATCTGGCTCCTGACTTCAGTTTCCTGCCAGTGCTTACCATGGGAAGTAGCATAAATGAGTCATGTAATTGAATCCTGCCACTTTGGAGACCTGGATTGAGAGTTCCGTTCTCCTGGCTAAGGTCAAACCAAGTCCTAGTTGTTAGAGAGGGAACCAGCTATTGGGAACACTCTCTCTGTGTATATCTTTCTCTCTCTCTCTTTCTTCCTCTCAAAAATAATAATAATAATTTTTTAAACTAAGACATATAAAATATGTGTTAGATTAGGCTCTACAAAATATTGAGATTAAAAGTTGGAAAGTAAATAACAGAAGCTTTTTCTTATTGTTATAAAAATATAGACTGTTTTGAAAAGTGTGACTTTTTCCCCCAAAGAAACCTTTTATTTAATGAGTACAAATATCTTAAGTACAACTTGAGGAATATAATGAGTCTCCCCACCATACCCACCCTGCCACCACCACTCCTACCCCACCTCCTCCTCCTGCTCCATTCCCAGTCCCATTCTCCATTAAGATAAAACAAAACAAAACAAAAACCTATTCCTCAAAAGTCAAGACAAGGACTGTTTAAGTCATTGCTTCTCAAACTGTCAATATCACTTCTACAGATTTCCTTTCAGGTGCTCTATTAGTTATCACAGATCAGGGAGAACATATGGTATTTGTCCCTTTGGGACTTAGTTATTTCACTAAGTATAATGTTTTCCAGATTCATCCATTTTGTTGCAAGCGACTGGATTTCATTTTTTTAATTGCTGTGTAGTATTCCATAATGTACATATCCCATAATTTCTTTATCCAGTCTTCAGTTGACAGGCATTTAGGTTGATTCCATGTTTTAGTTATTGTGAATTGAGCTGCAATAAACATGTGGGTACAGATAACTCTTTTATTTGCTGATTTCATTTCCTTTGGGTAAATTCCCAGGTGTGGGATGGCTGGGTCATACGGTAGGTCTATATTAAGGTTTCTGTGGTATCTCCAAACTGACTCCCATAATGGTTTTACCAATTTAGATTCCCACCAACAGTGATTAGGGTGCCTTTTCCCCACATCCTCACCAGCATTTGCTGTTTGTTGATTTCTGTATGAAAGCCATTCTAACTGAGGTGAAGTAGAACCTCATTGTGTTTTTGATTTGCATTTCCCTGATGGCTATGATCCTGAACATTTTTTCATGTGTTTGTTGGCTATTAGGATTTCCTCTTCGGAAAAATGTTTGTTTAAGTCCTTTGCCCATTTCTTCTCTGGGTTGTTTGTTTTGTTGTGTAGTTTCCTGATCTTTTTATATATTCTGGTCATTAATACTTTATCACTTGCATTGTTTGTAAATAATTTCTCTCATTCTGTCTGTTGCCGCTTCACTTTCCTGAGTGTTTCTTTTGCAGTACAAAAGCTTCTCAATATGATATAATCCCATTTGTTGATTTTGGCTTTGATTCCCTATGCCTCTGGTGTCTTTTTCAAGAAGTCTTTGCCTGTGCCAATGTCTTCAAGGTTTTCCCCAATCTTCTCTAATAATTTGATTGAATTGGATAATATATTTAGGTCTTTAGTCCATTTTGAATGGATTTTTATATAAGGTGCAAGGTAGGGGTACTGCTTCTGCATGTGGAAAGCCAGTTTTCCCAGAACCATTTATTGAAGATAATTTCCTTGATCCAATGATTGATTTTAGCTCCTTTCTCAAATATAAGTTGGTTGTAAATGCTTGGGGATTGATTTCTGGCATTTCTATTCTGTTCCATTGGTCTGTCCATCAGTTTTTCTAACAGCAGCAGGCTGTTTTGATTATAACTCCCTTGTAATATGTCTTGAAATCTTGGTATTGTGGTGCTGCCAGCTTTGTTTCTGTTGTATAAGAGTTGCTTTAGCTATTTGAGGTCTCCCGTGTTTCCATATGAATTTCAGCATCATTTTTTTCTAGATCTGAGAAGACTCTCTTTGGTATTTTGATTAGTATTACATTGATACCTGTAAATAATCTGTGAATTGTTTTTGGAAGAATGGATGTTTGGATGATATTGATTCTTCCAATCCATGAACATGGAAATTTTTTTTTTCATTTTTTGTATCTTCTTCTATTTCTTTTTTTAATGTTTTGTAATTCTCATCATAGAGATCTTTGACATTTTGGTTAAATTTATTCCAATGTATTTGATTTTTTTTGTAGCTATTGTGAATGAGATTGATCTTAGAAGTTCTTTCTTGGTCATAGCATTATCTGTGTATACAAAGGCTATTGATTTTTATGTGTTGATTTTATATCCTGCTACTTTACCAAACTCTTCAATGAATTATAATAGTCTCTAGGTGGAGTCTTCTGGATCCCCTAAATATAGAATCATGTCATCTGCAAATAGGGCTAGTTTGACTTCTTCCTTCCCAATATGTTTCCCTTTGATTTATTTGTCTTGCCTAGTGGCTCTGGCTAAAACTTCCAGGACTATATTGAATAGCATTGGTGAGAGTGGATATCCTTGTCTGGTTCTGATTCTCAGTGGGAATGCTTCCAACTTTTCCCTATTCAATAGGATGCTGGCTGTGGGTTTGTCATTAATTGCTTTGATTGTGTTGAGGAATGTTCCTTCTATACCCAATTTACTTAGAATTTTTATCATGAAAAGGTGTTGTATTTTATCAAGTGCTTTCTCTGCATCTATTGAGAAAATTATTTGTTTTTTTTTTTTTTTGTTATTCAGTTTGTTAATGTGATGTATCACATTGATTTATTTGCTAATGGTGAACCATCCCTGCATACTTGAATAAATCACACTTGGTCCAGGTGAATCATCTTTCTGATGTGTTATTGAATTCTATTGGCCAGAATTCTGTTGAGGATTTTTGCATCTACGTTCATCAGGGAAATTGGTCTGTAGTTCTCTTTCTCTGTTGCATCTTTTCCGAGTTTAGGAATTAAGGTGATGCTGGCTTCATAGAAAGAATTTGGGAGGATTCCCTCCCTTTCAATTGTTTTGAATAACTTGAGAAGAAGTGGAGTTAGTTTTTCTTTAACAGTCTGTTAGAATTCAGCAATGAAGCCATCTGGTCCTGGGCTTTTCTTTGTTGGGAGGGTCTTTATTATTGATTCAATTTCCGCCTTGGTAATGGGTCTGTTTAGGTTTTCTACATCTTCTTGGCTCAATTTAGGCAGGTTGTGTGTGTTCAGGAATCTATCCATTTCTTCTAGGTTTCCCAGTTTGTTGGTATACAGCTCTTTGTGGTAATTTCTTATGATTTTTTTTTATTTCCATGGTGTCTGTTGTTACATTTCCTTTTTCAACTTGAATTTTCTTGATTTGGGTCTTCTCCCTCCTTTCTTTTTTTTTTTTTTTTTTGTTCATTTTTTCAAAAAATCAGCTCTTTATTTTGCTGATCTTTTGTATTTTTTTTTTGTTTTTGGTTTCAATTTTGTTGATTGATTTCTTCCCTAATTTTAATTATTTCTTTTCTCCTACTAGTTTTGGGTTTAGTTTGTTCTTCTTTTTCTAGGTCCTTGAGATGCATTGATAGCTCATTTATCTGGTGCCTTTCCTATTTCTTGATGTAGGCACAAATTGCTATAAACTTTCCTCTTAACACTGCCTTTGCTGTATCCCATACATTTTAATATCTTGCATTGCCAAATTAACTGGTGCCCACATGGCATGCCATCACTGCAGGTGGTGGCTTTACCTGCTATGCCACAACACCAGCTCCAACATTTCTTTTAGATAGCCAGGTGCCTTGTATGTAAGTGTATATATGTTTATAATAGTTACATCTTCCTGTTGAATTGATCCCTTAATCAT